AGTGATCACAATTTCCACTATAAAAAATGGTACATAACAGAAAACTAAAGCTAAATGCACCCAAAGTGCACAATGCACTGCCTTTCTGTATCGCACTATATTCAGTGCATTTGGTAGGCTAGGCTGTTGTTGTGCGTGATCTTGTACTTGAACCTGATGATGACTGAGAGCGCGGAAAATCTTTGTGTACGAGGCGATTGAGATAACTAAGCAACATAATATACCTATAGGGCTGCACCAAAGGGCTACACGGTAGCTGAGATGACGGAATAAACTAGTGACTAGACATACAACCCAAACGATAGCTAAAATGATGAAAGTGCACCTCAAAGTTACAATCTCTTTGTATCTCAGTCCCAACAACAGGGCGAGAAGTCGGTCCATGCTTATGACCGTCAGTGTCGACAAAGACACTGAACAAAATGCATAGCCTGTTACGCTACTTGCGTCAAATGAGTATCGACAAAGACTCCAATGTTCGTGAACCACGGACATCCAATAGGTGGCATAAAGAGGTTGAGTAGCAAGACCAACAAGCAGATCAGTTGCTGCCAGACAACGATACAAGAGTTTGGATGGCGGATGGAGGCGAGATTCCTTGTGAAGGGCAACAAGGATAAGAAAATTCCCAAGAGTTGCTGTGATGGAGAGGAGAATGTTGACTGCTGAGAATAAAATGGACTGTTGTTTTAACTCGCCTACCCAAACCGGGGAGCATTGCCATTCTCCAAATGTTTTCGTCTGCGTTCCACTTCCCGTTATATTTGAAGCTGCCATCATTGTTATCTTCCACTTTTTTTGCAGGTTATCCTTAGTAAAAATGAGGTATATTTCGTCTTAACAACGTCCTCCAAGTCAAGATCAGTTCAACCTTATTCTTTTTACTAGCATTTACAGAGATTAAAAATTCATCAGTAGCGTCTGACTCTGTAAAATGTCTGGAAGCTGTGAGGTTTGTCATACGAAAGAGTTTTAAATCAGTAATTAGGGGAAAGTAAACATGCATTTTTGATAGGTTAATTTCCCAACACAGAAAAAAAAACAAAAACAAAGGAAAAAAGAATTCTCTACTCAAATAAAGCTTCAGTGATAGGATATCAAGACTTGACCGACAGTCGGTCGGTCGGTCGGCAGTCGACAAATTGTCGGTGGACGCCTTGACCAACGAATCTGCTGACGTGTTGTTTGGATCGGATTCGTTTTCATACCCGAATTATTAATTCACGTGATCTTGGAACGCCACGAATAGTTTTCAGCTCAGGAAAACTGAGAGAAAAATGTTAATATCAAAATCAATGTAGGTTACAGATACAAATTTATTCCGAAAATATTTGAATTTTTTTTTCTCTACATGTCGCACCTATCTGGACTTAGGAACGAAACGGTGACAAGTTTAAGATGATACGTCGTTAGCCCGTCTCTATCTTAACTTTTTCATTTACTATTTACCCACTTCTTTTATAACCGAAAATTTAGCCGAGTTATATCTTATGGTCATAAGAAAATTAAAGGTCAAGAAGCTTGAGGTCCCATCATTTCAAATGTCTAATTAATACTGAGATAAACTTCTTGTTTCTTGGAAGGAAGGCGAGTAGCTGACTGATTCCGAGAACACCTTGGCGACGTAGAAAGAAATGACCCTAATCATTCTAAGCAGCATATGGCAGTTTGCGGCCTTTCCCTACATCTAGCAGTTCGGAAGGCAGCAAAACTGTAGAACAAAAGTCTACCTTTTAAATCGGCACTCTTAATCCCACGGTATCAACGAGCGCTTTTCACTTAACTAATTTATTATTGATTTCGCGTCACCATATTCCCACCGATAGCGTAGCTCCTTTTTTTGTATATAAACCCACACACAACCCACAGTTCCTCCAATCGTTCTGGCGAAGGGCTAAAGTTCGAAACGTCAGTTGCTAAACTCTTTACGGTGGCTAATATACGTTATCAACTCAGTTTATAATATTAAATTACCCTAAATTTTTTGTTGCTTGACGAGGAACTGTTTTCTAAATATACATGACAAGTGATCGGGGCTAATATTTTTCTTACTCATCAAATAATTCAAGAATATTCACCTTCAGATATCAAATTAACTTAAAGACGGTGTTAAACACAATGACCATAGTCTGAATTCGTTCCTGACGGATAATTAAGGATATTCTGACTCTGCTCAAGTAAACTTTTGATCAAAACTTGTAACGTGCTGATTCATAATGGATAGTGGTCATGGCATATCGAATATTTTAAGTTTGTAAAGACGTGTTTCAAGTTGTCACGGTGATGTATATTTTTATTTTAATTAAGCAAATTTCATATCAAGGTAAGAGGGGAGAACGATTTTCAAGAGACAAACACTAATGGCCGTACTATTGAAACCAGGAACATTTATATCATCACATCAGTTCCACAGGTGATATACTATTTAGAAAACATTTCTATAATTTTGTCTCCTTTTATTTTAGTAACATGAAGTAAATCGAGCATTCCTATTGAAAATTTCCGGAAAGTATGTTGAATTTCATTTTTGTCTCTGGGATTCAAATATCCATGGGCAAACAATTCATTTGCAAAGAAAAATGCATGATCAATTTAATTTATTTTAAGTGTTGAGTTAAGTATACGAAACAGTTTGAACCTTTTCCATAAGTTTTACTTGTAATTGCTTGTCCCCAATAAGTTTTCAACACAACAAATTCGAAGCTTCGTTGGTTTAATTGACCCGCTTTTGCGTCCAATCGTGATTGTTATGGTAATAAGTTTTCCTAATACTTTCCAGCAGGGAGACTCAAGGTTTCTTCTTTGTCCTACGCACGTGACAAGATTAAAAAATAATTTTTCCCTAGTTCAGTAACGTGCCCAAAATTTACTATCTCAATTATTCTATTTTCTACATCTATAATGCCAATTTTTTAAAAGGATAATTGGTATGGGAAAAATAGAAATCTAGACTGCATAAAACTATTCAAAATTAATGTATTGTTACAGATGCATAGTTACTCCTAAAAATATTTGTATTTTTGTTCTTTGTTCTATACGTGTCGCACCTGACTGGAACTTTGAGATCATGAAAACCTCTCTCACGATCAAACTGCCTTGAACTCTGCCTTTTTGTCCTAAAATGTTTGAAAATAGATGCAGCGGTGAACAGTTTTTTTTTTAAACACCACTAACAATGTACACCTGTACAAACAAGGAATTCAAACATTCTTATCACCGGAGACATTTTGTGTGCCAATTATCTCTGGTTCTAAGGCGGAAGTTTGATTTTGAACAATGCTGTTTGTCTTGTTACCTGTTAATCGAATTGATGAGCGATATTTTGGATATGGCATCGTATAACAGGGACAAAGTTATACTCTCTGTGACCATTGTTTCAATAGAAATAGTGAAAAAAATCCGTGTTTGACCAAGAAAAACCTTTATTGATAGCTATTGACAGATGACGAAGTGCTTAGGCACTGCTGTTATATCAGGACTTGTCAGAATTATGATCAGATACGTACGGCAAATTGAAAAACAAAAAAGTTGCAATGCAGATTCTACTCTGTCGGGAAGCAGTTTGAAGACTTCCTTTGGGTGAGTCTATTGTCACCAAGACCATGTTATTTAGCCCGGGTTTTGTATGAGTTTTTTGAAAAACTACCATAATAATGTTTAAAGTTGTCATGTATACAACAGGTGATTGCATTCATTTTGTCTCGATTGCTCTTTTCTAATAAGAGTTTCCATTACTGACTCTAAGAAAATATCTATAGAAGTCAGTTGTATTCTGCATCAGAGCATTTTTTGATAGCTTATCGAGTGACAACATAGCCTGTTCGAAGCTGGCAAAACGACGTGCCCAATAAACGGCGCGATAGTCACGGCGGTGTGGAAAAAAGTGAGGCCAGGGTCCAGTCGGGTAAAGAACAACGTTCACCCGACCCGACCCGACCCGACCCGACCCGACCCGACACGACCCGATCCGACACGACCCAAGCCTCCCTCTTTTTTTCTCTCCACTGCTACTATCGTGCCATGCACCATTTCGCTCCATTTTACAAAATTAAAGCCCTTAAAAGGCTAGTAACAACAATGGCAGCTAACCATGAGCTCTGCTTATAAAGATATGCTTAACAGCTTGTGACATTCTACATTATTTCATCATATTCCGTTTAAAGATTAGTTTCAGCTTAGTTTGCCTGGCTTAGCTCATAACTCAGCAAGACAAAGTAAATGAAGGAGCATTTAAAAATTTTCTGGAGTATTTTAGAACAAGATTCTACGATATCTAGAAATCGCGGTTGGAAATCAGTCGATCCTGGTAAACAATTTTGAACTTTTAAACATTACTGACCAAATTTATACGATTCTCATTTCATCTATGAAATATACCTTCACTTGTGACATTTATGGCAACGTCAGCTTTTTCATATTATTTACTCATCAAAAATTTGCATACAACCTTAAATTCATTCCGTGATATTCGTAACAGTTCCGAGAATGAAAGAGAGATGTTAAGGAAAACCACATAAAAGGGGTTAGAGCATAGTAGTTCTTAAACCAAAGATTTAATCCTTTCATTATACTTATTCTCATTTTTCAGAATTTTAATGACATCAATCATCTTTTTGACCATCAGATGAAATTTAAACGCGGATATAATACTTGAAGTGGTTAGCTGTCATACAAACCCTTTTAATTAGGAGTAATGGTACATACTCAAGAGCGCGCTTCGTACTCGATTGTCATGAAATGATAGAATGTTTTCTCATAAGAGCAGCTTTGTGTACACGGCCTGTGATAGAGTCACGTATTTCCCTTGAATATTCAAAATTGGTAATAGGAATGCTTTTAAATTAACAGCAAAGAAACGGGTTTAAAGTCACGTTAAAGAAAACTACTAAAACATCTACCATGCCCTTGATTACGATGAAATCCGATAATCGGGTTAAACTCAAAGCAGAATCTCCATATTAGTTATAGAAAAAGCGGTACATGCCAACGTTAAAATAGGTTTACCCCTCTGCAAAGCAGATTGCTTGTCTGATTGTCTGCTTCACTGCTCGTCTCACTTCACTTATCTTCCAGCAGTAAAGGAACGGGTTTAAAGTAGAGTTAAAGAAAAGTATGACAATTCCCATTCCGAAAATAAAGAAGAAATTCGAAAATCTCTTTGCACTAAGAAAGATCACAATTCTCACTATAAACTGTGGAACATAACAGACAACTAAAGCTAACTGCACCCAAATCGCATTGTACACTGCCTTTCTGTATCGCGCCATGTTCAGTGCATTTGGTTGGCTCGGCTGTTGTTGAACATGATCTTGTATTTGAGCCTGATGATGACTGAGAGCGCGAAAAATCTTTGTGTACGAGGCGACTGAGATTACCAGACCAGATGGTATGGTTATGATGCGGTACCAAAGACCTATACGGTAATTGAGATAAGAGAATAAACCAGCGACTAGACATACAACCCAAACGATAGCTAAAATGATATACGTGCGCCTCAAAGTTACAATCTCTTTGTATCTCAGTCCCAACAACATGGCGAGAAGTCGGTCCACGCTTATGGCCGTCATCGTCATCAAAGACACTCCGCATAATACATAGCTTGATATGACGGTTGCATCCCTTGCGTATCTACAAAAACTCCAGTGTTCGTAAACCACGGACATCCAGTAGGCAGCATAGAGAGGCTGGTTAACAAGACCAACCAACAGATCAGTTGTTGCCAGACAACGATACAAGAGTTTGGATGGCGGATGGAGGGAAGATTCTTTGTGAAGGGCAATAAGGATAAAGGAATTCCCAAGAATTGCCGTGATGGAGAAGAAAATGTTGACTGCTGAGAATGAAATGGACTGTTGTTTAAAATCACCTAACCAAATCGGGGAACATAGCGATTCGTGAAATGTTTGCGTATGTGTTCCACTTTCCGTTAGATTTGTTGTCGCCATCATCTTGCTGTCGTTTCCACTCTTTTGGAGGTTATCCTTAGATACAACGAGGAATATTTCGTCTTAACAGCACCCTATAAGTCAAGGTCGGTTAAACCTTAATTTTTGGATAACAATTGCAGAGAGTAAAAGTTCATCACTAGCGTCTGACTATGTATAATGCCGGAACGCTGTGAGGTTTGTGACACGAAAGAGCAAAAAACGCCAGTCTTTCTGCGCGAATTTGAATTAGTAATAGGGGAAAGTAAAACTGCATTTGTGATAGGTTAATTTCCCAAAAAAACATAAAAAAAACTTATTTACTCAAATAAACCTTCAGTGATAGGATATCGAAAGTCGACTGACAGTTCGTCGATAGTCGACCAATTTCCGTTGGCCGACACCTTGATTAACGCATGGGCAGACGTGTTGTTTGGATCGGACTCGTTGCCTTACCCGGCTGATAGCGTGAATTATTAATTCACGTGATCTCGGGATGACATGAATTGTTAACAGTTTAGGAAAACTTAGAGAAAAAGTCCAATTTCAAAATTTATGTTGGTTAGAGATGCAAAGTTATTCTAAAAATATTTCTATTTTTTTGTATCTACATGTCGAACTTTTAAATGGTGGAAATGTTGGTAAAAAGATCATAAATAATTCAAATGCTCCCCCCACGGGAGACGATGTGTGTGCAAATTGTCACTGGTTTTTTACGGCGGAAGTTTGCCACTGAACATTTCTGTTTTTCTCAGTTACCTGTAATTGGTAAACGACATTTTGGATATGGCATCGTATAACAGGGACAAATTTATAATCTCTGTGACCATTGTTAAAAAAAATAAATTAAAAAAAATTAAAATATTAGTGTTTGACTGAGGAAAACTTGCACTAAAAGGTATTGACAGATGATGAAGTGCTTATGCCAGAGCTGTGATACCGGGACTTGTTTGCCGGAATTATGATCACATACTTACGGCAAACTGAAAAACAAAAAGATTGCAAGGTAGGTGTTACTTTGTCAGGAAGTAGTTTGAAGACTTTCTCTGTATGAATCTATAGTCACAAATGCCATGTTATTTTAGCCGAGGTTTTGTTTTAGTTTTTTTTTGAAAAACTATACATGTATTAGCTTTTTTTACGATACGGTTTTGCTACCGAATTAAAATATTCAATCATTTCATAGGCGCAAAGCATAAAGTTACAGAAGTCTGACATTGTTTGATGCCACTCTGGTTTACAGATTTAATGAATGTAACCGAAGAATTGTAACTTCTTCGGTTACATTCATTAAATCTGTAAACCAGAGTAGCATCAAACCATGTCTGAACAATTCAGTAAGATGAATTAAATTTTTTGTGTTATTAATTATTTGATTGCAAAACATTACCGTAGTAAAAATTAAAGTTGTTATGTATACGACAGGTGATTGCATTTATTTTGTCTCTCGATTCCTCATTCGTAATAAGTGGCTCCACTTTTGACTCGAAGAAAATATATGATGTAGTCTCTTGTATTCTGCATCACGCCTTTTTCTTTGACAGCTTATCGAGTGATAACACAGCCTGTTTGAGGTGTTCAGCTAGTAAAACGAAGTGTACACTAAACGGCGCGATAATCAGGGCGCACCGAAGAAGAGTGAGGCTTGGGTCCAGACGGGTAAAGAACGGCGTTCACCCGACCCGACCCGACGCGACCCAAAACTCCCCCGTTTCATCATTCCACCGCTACTACCGTGTCGCTCACTTTTACTAAATGAACGCCTGGAAAAGGCTGGTGAGAACAACTGCAACTAAATATGAGCTCTGCTCAGCTAATTCCCAATCATGACAAAATCTAGCAAATCTACTTCTAAGTCAGAGGAGAGTTAATTCAATGGACAGCACAGTGCTTGGCTAATTGTCTGCTTCACTGCTTGTTTCATCTCACTGATCCTCCAGCAGTATAGGACGGGATTTAAAGCCGAGTTAAAATAAACTAAAACAAGTGCCACTCCCCAGGTGACGATTAAATGTGACGAGTATGTATTATTAGATGCGATCGCAATTCCCGATACACCTATTGGCAAGTAACAACCAACTAATGCTAACTGCACCCATAGTCCACTATACATTGCCTTTTTGTATCGTGCCAAGTTTAGTGTATTTGATTGGTTCTGCTTTTGTTGGACAAAACCTTGTGATTGAGCCTGGTGATGACTGAAAAGGCAGAAAATCTTTGTGAAAGAGGCCACTGATATTATTAAGCAAGATGGTATAATTATACGGCCACACCACTTATCTATTCGGTAGTCTAAAATGTAGCAAAAACCAGCCACGACAATCAGTACCCAAAAGGTTGGTACCATGAATTATGTGCGCTTTAAAGTTAAAATTTGTCTGTATCTTAGCCCCAACAACAGGGCGAGAGGTCTGTCCACGCATATGGCCGCCATTGTCAACAATGACACTGAACATAATGCATAGGTTGTTAAGTAAGTTCCTTTACATGCGAATCGACAAAGATACCACTCTTCGTTAACCAAGGACATCCAATAAGTGGCAATCAAAGGCTGACTGACAATGTGAAACCTTTTTTTGGTTTTTTGGTTTTTTTTTTTTTTTTTTCTATCGTGCCGTGTACGTTTTCGCTCCGTTTTACCAAATGAACGCCTGGAAAAGGCTAGTGATAACAGCAACTAAACATGAGCACTGTTTATAGAGATATGCTTAACAGCCTGAGACATTCTCTGTCATTTCATCATATTCTGTTTAAAGATCAGTTTCGGCTTTGGCTTGCCTGGCTTAGCCCATGACTCAGCAAGACAAAGTAAATAAAGGAACACTTTTAAAATTCCCTGGAGTATTTTAGAACATAAGTCTACGATATCTAAAAATCGTGGTCGGAAATAAGTCGATCGATAAATAATTTTGAACTTTAAAACATCACTCACTAAATTTAATTGATTCCCATTTTATCCACGGGATATACCTTCATTTATGACATTTATGACATTTATGATATTTATGGCAACGTCAAATTTTCCATATTATTTACTGATCAAAAATTTACATACAACTTGTTATTCATTCCATGTTATTCGTAACGGCCCTGAGGACGAAATGGAAACGTTAAACGGCAGGACATAAAGAGATTAGAGGTTAGTAGTTTTTGAACCAAATATTTAAAGCTTTCAATATGCTTATTATTTCTTTCAGAGTTTTTAATGACATCATAGGCGGCCCAAGCTCACGTCTCGCGAAAAAGCCAACGATTAATTCATGAACGCGTCACGCGTTGTGTGACTCGGTGTTAAGTTACGTGAGGAACCGTTGAAAATTTGAACACATTATAAGGAATAGCATGGGGAACGAAACATTGTCGATTTACAACGGTAAATATTTCGAAATATGAATATTTTACGCGTAAAATCAATAACTCTTATTCGCATCCTATGTGTCCCTTGTAGTTTCTGGCGATTTCTTCCGTTTCAGGCCTGCTTTACCATCACTGTTATTCCTGTCAAAATACGAAGTCAAGGCTGCACACTCCGATTTCGACCGTTGTCCATGCGGAGGTGGTTTGTGCACCGAAAATCCTCCCGATCGGCATTTTTCTCAGTCATATTTTACGATCTAAGATCATTGCACTCTGGGACATGTCTCAATACCAAATCTCCCTGCGCATTTCGCTGGAAACGAGCGTTTTGTACCTGAATTTCCCAGTTTGCTTCTTTCTGGCTATACTTTGAACAAGCAGACCGGACACGGCCGCGGAAGAAACTTGGGTACGAGGTTAATTTTCTCTCCACCGCGTGTGGTACGGTCGAGCAATGTACAATACTTACCCCATCTCCACAGAGACACCTCTCATTGATCTATTGTCCTCATCAACCAAGCAGACAGCGAGGTGAAACTAGAACAGATGGACAAAGGACAAAATTTGAATATTCTGCGGGATTTGTTATGAGCACTTAAGCTTGGATTATTTTCGCTTAATTGCTATCGAAGGGGAAGAGATGCAATGCAATTGACCGAAAAGCGAATCGGGCGAAAAGCTTGTATTAAAAAGAGAACAAATTTTCAAGTGCGAACCCATGATAAATATTTAGGTATCATAGCTTTTCGCAAGTTTGACGTCGAAATCCGGAATCTGATCTGTATAATAGATTAAGGCGAGGTGTCTCTGTGGGGATGGGGTAAATACGGTATATTGATCGATTGTACCGCTCGCGGTGGAGGGAAAATTAACCTCGTACCCAAGTTTCTTCCGCGGCCGTGTCCGGTCTGCTTGTTCAAAGTATAGCCAGAAAGAAGCAAACTTGGAAATTCAGGTACAAAACGCTCGTTTCCAGCGAAATGCGTGGGGAAATTTGATAGTGAGACATGTACCAGAGTGCAATGGTCTTAGATCGTAAAATATGGCTGAGAAAAAATGCCGATCGGGAGGATTTTCGGTGCGCTAACCACCTCCGCATGGACAATGGTCGAAATCGGAGTGTGCAGGTTTGACTTCGTATTTTGACAGGATTAACAATGATGGTAAAGCAAGTCTAAAAAGCAAGAAATCGCCAGAAACTACAACAGACACACATGATGCGAGTAAGTGTTATTGATTTTACGCGTAAAATATTCATATTTCGAAATATTTACCGTTGTAAATCGACAACATTCCGTTCCCCATGCTATTCCTTATAACGTGTTCAAATTGTCATCTGATGAAATTCAAGCGCGGAAATAATCCTTGCTGTGGTGGAAAATCTTTGTGTACCAGGCGATTGAGATTACTAGAGCTATACGGTAATTGAGATGAAAGAATAAACCAGAGACTGGAGATACAGCCCACAAGATAGCTGAAACGACATATGTGCGCCTTAAAGTTACAATCTCTTTGTACCTCAGTCCCAACGGCTTGAGGGCAAATTATGATAATGATAAAAAACATGCAGATCTCAATTACAAAGAGTCAATGAAATGTCAGGTGTAGACATTTGCTGGTGAAATACATGAAATTAAGCTGTTATCGTTATAAACTGAGATATA